AGCATATTTTCTCCAGGCAATGACAAGAATGAAACAACAATTTTACTTTTCCATTATCTCATTTCGCCTTTAGGATCATTCCTTTTTCCATGCCACGCACCAGAGAAATGTGTGACCTTGCTAGGAACAAAGGAACATGCAAGGCCAGGGAAGAAAAACACCTTTGCCTCCACTAAATGAAAATGGATTACAAAGGTTGACTCCCAGGAATAACATACGTCACAAATAATAGTGAGTACCCGCTTCCTGAGAGATTTACACAATAGAGTTCACACGTCAACAACTGTTTGCCTATAATATAAATTCAAATTGACAAGACCGAGATATTATGGAACAGCATTTATCTCAAGATTGTCAGGAGAAGTCATTTCATTTCTTATGATTAATTTCATTTATACGTTAGTGTATTAGCTGGATATATTCATAATCTTTGCTCCATCCAATTTTAGCTTCTATATCATGGACAAAGGGATCCAAAAAACATTAGTCGTTTCCCCCCCCCTTTTTTTTTTAAGCACAGAAACGTCTGATTAATGTCTAAGGCAAACATCTGTATTAGACATCTTATCAATGGAACACATTCTGGAACAAGCAACTGCTTTGGAGGAATACGTTAGAGTGAAAGTCAGTTTTTCTTAAGTTTTTCTTAGAAAACTGTTGTTCTAGATACTGTGCTGTCCCCTTTGCTTGATTGGATAAAAAGAAAATGATGAAACAATGATGACAGTCTTTGTACACTCAAAAAAATCAAGAAAGGAGAATAAAAAAAGTTGTCAATCAGAGTAAGACTTCTTTATGTCTGGGTGCCATCACCTTTCAGGCAAAGAGGGTTGCTTCAAACATATACAAGCCACAGCTGTCACTCTGCAGAACCGCACATCTTCCACTCTAAGACAGTATCATTTGACAGCTGCTACAAATATTATGAATATCATGGATGTCCTGTTATTTTCATCTGACAGTCTCTGAAGCATAAGGAGCTAGCTATTACAAAAAAAAAGAGAAAAGAGTATGTGTGTGTGTAATAACATAAACAGCAGCAGAAAGCACATCAGGATGTTCTCCCAATGCTGAGATGCCTAGTATGCCTAGCATACGAGGATGCTGTTTAATTTTATTTGGATAGGCAGCAAGATCTGTAACGTTTGAGAATCAATCTTCACTCTCCTCTAAGCCCTCTCCCATTCTAGGAATGCACCAAGTTTTAAAACCCTAGAAAAAGATAGTATAAAAAGGTTTTACTATGCTGTTGCCTTAGAGTGGGAGAGGAGCAAATAGCAGCATTCTACTTCTTTTGCAGCAGCTCTGATTAGGTCCAGCAAGATTAGAGTCCCACTGAAAAAGGCTCAACAAAAAGGAAGAATAGAAATGTTACTTCCCCAAGAGCTTACAGTAAAGACAGAAGTCATGAAATCACTCAAGTAATTTTCAAGTCAAAGAACAACTAACTTCACATCTCTTCCACTGATTGTCTCCAGAGCCAGAGCAAACATACTCCTAGGAGTTTTAGCTTCCCATGGGAAAACCACATACTTCTGATCTCTGCAGTAATTGTGTCAGTGGATGTTTACATCCTAGATTCAAACTGTTCTGTACTGCTGAGATCTTCCTGATCTCAGTGGCTGCTGCACACCAGTGATGGCTTGTTGCACACAGGGTGTTCTGCAAACATAAAGGTGCTGCCAAAGTCAGCATTTTTCCTGGGGAAAGCAGCCCTCGGCAGAAACAATTTGCTTTTAATGTTTAAAATGGCTGATCTCACACTTCTCCATTTTCCGGTCTTATGCGATTTTCTCATGGGCAGCCATTCCAATTCGTCACGATAAAATTCCCACCTTCACATCCTACGGCTATTCTGGCGGCACCATTTGCCAGTTCTGTCGTCCTCAACCCGCAAGAAGCACTACCGGCAGAAATTTAACCCATTCACTGAAACGCGGGTAGTCAAGCTGTTCGGGCAGGACTCTTAATCACAACTACAAATTACAGCCAAATAAAAGATGCCAATACGATTTCAGCTGGAATTCCTGATCCGGAGCTGGAGCGCGCTGCCCGCACACGCGGTGCGCACGCGCCCCCCTGCGGCCGCCGAGCGCCGCTGCGGGCCCGGCTCCGCCGAGGATCGCCCTTGGATCACCAGCGGCTTTCCAACTCCTCGGGAACAGCTCTGCGCCCCTCCCGGGCCTCTGCACAGCACCGCGTCTGTCACACACTCACATTCAACCGTGTGGAACGACCGCTTCAAATAGGGCACTAAAACTATTACAGAATACATGCTACAAAACTAACAAATGTCTCAGGCTATAGCGCAGAGTCTTCGAGACATTTAAACTTCGTTGATACAGTGGCAAAAACAGCAACTCGGTCAAATTTTTGGGCTTACTGTCTCAATCCTTTGTCGTCCTCTTAAAAGAAATACCCTGAAGTCCTTAGGGGAGAAGGAAACAGCAAAGTAACAATATTTACATAATCTCCCTGTTCATCTTAAATCAAATTGCTTTAGGCTTTTTTGTTCTGCTTGTTGTTTGGGTTTTTTTAATACATAAGTGGACGTAGCACATAAGTTTAGAAAGAGGTTTTTATGTTTCAGATGACAGGAGACATTAACCGTATGTAGACCTTACCTATGCTTCCTGAATTATGCAAGACTTGCACCAAATCATTATTGTTCTAAGTGTGCATGCAATGAACAAAGACAGCAAAAACAGGATTTCTTACACAGTAGTAAAACAGAGCACTCGACTTGTGGTTGGTTGCTAAGGAATATAAACAGTGATGCAAAGAACTGCCAGGTGAATCCAGTCAGGATAAGCATGCAAACAACTGTACACTAATTTTTTTTTTTTTTATTTGTTTCAATAGGATGACACCATAATTGGCTAAGAGACCATTGAAAAAAATCAAAAGACAAAAATCAGTGGAAAATGGAAAACCTTCCCTTGATTTCTCTGGGCTTTGGTCTGTGTCACAAACTGCAATACTGACAGCCAGGAAATGAAAAAACAGAATTACACAGAAAGCCGTTCAAATTCAATCAGTCTTTCACAGCCAGAACCCCAGAGAAATTCCATATCTTTCCACTTGCTATTTCACATTTATATACCCATCTTTTTTGTGTGTGTCTGTACATCACAAAATTATAAGGCAATTACCCAAATTATAAATTCTTCAGATCATTAAAGCTATTAATAAAAATTGATTTTCAGTGTAAGAGCATTCATACACCAACCAAGCACACAATTCTTCCTGACTGTATCCCAAACTTGACAGGAACTCCATTTCTATTTCAACCTACTCCATCTAATTATGGAGCCTTTCATCAGGTCCTAATACTGCTTAAAGTCACCCAAATAAAAGAAGGGGAGAGAAGAAAAAGGTAACTTGATAAGGCATCTCATCTTTTTTATAGAGACATTTTGCTGTCATACCTCAGCTTTGCCTTCAGCAAGTTTAAGAAGGTTCCAACTAAAACACACTTTGAGCATTGGGCACAATAAAGCCTGATGCTTCAGTTCTCATCCCATCCAGTATTTTTACCCTCCTGCCTCCAAGTTAACCACAAAACTCACACATTGCAAAGCACAGTTGATTTTGCACGTTCTTGCACTGGTTTTTTGCAGACTACTTTGCACCTAGACCCCTTTCTAGCATTTTGCACTTAGAAGCAAGGGCCACGGCAGCCCCAGAGAGAAGTCCCAAGCCATTATTAGAAAATTACATTGTGTCACCTTTCTAAGCAGCAGCAGCTACACCACCGGTTACATGTGTTGCACAAGCAACAGCAAGGAGGGACATGTCACACCACCCTCCTACTTTTCTACTGATCCTACTCATCTGGGGGAGGAAATTACTTACGGATGTCACGCTTCAAACTTTGCTTCCTTTATGAGCAAAACCATTAGTGGAAACATCATAAATTTGATTAAAGTATGTGAATATTACCAAGGGAGGTGATTCTGCCCCTCTACTCCACTCTTACGACACCTCCCTTCCAAAGGGCTCCCAGCGCAGGAAAGATATTGACCTGTTGAAGCAAGTGCAGAGGAGGGCCATGAAGGCTAGGGCACCTCTTTCTATGAAAACAGTCTGAAAGAACTTGGCTTGTTTGCCTGAAGATTGCAGGGAGACCTTAGAGTACCTTCCACTACCTGAAGGGGGCTACAGAAGTGCTGGAGAGGGACTTTTTACAAGTGCCAAGTGGGAATGGCTTCAAATTGAGAAAGAGTAGGTTTAGATCGGATAATAGAAATTTTTAACTGAGGGTGATGAGACACTGCCATAAGTTTTCAAGAGAATTTGTGGATGCCCCATCCCTGAAAGTGTTCAGCGCCAAGCTGGATGGAACTCTGAGCAATGTGATCTGGGGGCCAGTGTCCCTGCCCGTAGCAGGGGAGTTGGGACTAGTTCATCTTGAAGCCAAATAATCCTGTGATTCGCCTCCTTTTCTCCCACCGCCAGCCCTTGCTTCGCCCCCCCGCTGCCGGGCCGGCCCTGGCCGCACCCGGGGCTGCCCAGCACCCGGCGGTGCCCGTCTCTCATCGCAATATCGGGCCCCAGCCCTCGCTTCGCTGGCACTACGCAGGCAGAACCGGCGAGGGAGCCGCTCATTTTAGGGCTTTCGCACGGACCCGCACAGGATCGCTTTGGGCCCGCGCCGCCCCTCGGTGCCGAACTGCCCGCAGCGCGCAAGCGGCAGCGCCGGCCAGGCCGGCGTGTCCTCACCGCGCCCCACACGCCCACAGCGGGGCCAGTCCGGCACACGCCACAGAGTGTCCTCACCGCCCCCCACACGCCCACAGCGGGGCCAGCCCGGCACACGCCACAGAGTGTCCTCACCGCCCCCCACACGCCCACAGCGGGGCCAGCCCGGCACACGCCACAGAGTGTCCTCACCGCCCCCCACACGCCCACAGCGGGGCCAGCCCGGCACACGCCACAGAGTGTCCTCACCGCCCCCCACACGCCCACAGCGGGGCCGGCCCGGCACACGCCCACAGCGAGGCCGCCGCTGTCCGCCGTGGCCGCCCGCCGGCTCTGCGCCCTCCGCCGGTAGGTGCCCGCGGCCGCCGCCGAAGCCCCGGACAGGGGGACGGCGCCGGCCGTGAGCTCGGGATGGCCCTGAGGACTCGGTGCCTCCTCCGGGGGAGCTGGGGGTGGGCAGCAGGGGGGTGCCTCGGGATCGCCCCGGGGAGAGCGGCGAAGCGGTGCTCAGCTATCCCTTAAAACACAGCCCCAGCCCGCCCTTGTGTACGGCCAGCACTGCGCCTGTGCCGGGCTGCAGGGGGAGCGAAGTTAAGGGAAGTATTTTTAGAAAGCACGAGATGTGTTTTTTCAAAGCGGCCTTGATCGGTAGATCGTTTCTAGTGACTGCCAGCACATGCGTGCTGCTGTGGTTGCTCTTTGCCCTTCCATTTCTGTGCTTTCTTTCCCTTCGAAGGATATGCCTTCTTGTGGCCTTTCCAGCCCTTTGGGCTTCCTGCTGGACTGAAGTTCACTATCCACTGAATCTCTGTGGACACCAGGGAAAAGAAGGAAAACACTCATCACATACATTTGAAATAATTCTTAATTATCCTTTCCAAAAATACCCAAAAACCTTTAAGTTGACAAGTGTTGTGACTTATAATGATGGTTTGCAATCCTAAAAGCATTTCAAATGCAGTGCTTAATACAGCTAAATAAAGCTGGATTCTCATTAAATTAAAAAGAGCTGATGGTTGTTTAAGATCCATCAAATCTTCGGATAAAACTCCAGAGCTGACAGTAAAGGGAGGAGGAAGGGGCTTTTTCCTACTCACTGGCATACCACAAATTACCCAGATCAAAAGCATTACTTGAGGGAGATGCACATACTAAAAGTACACTGCAGTTCTTATTCCATTTTCTAACTTCATGTCCAACTAATTACTCTTTCTCCATAGATATGAATTACTCTAGGTTCGTGACCACTGTGAGTGCAGCAAGAAAAGCATCTCCAATAAGACTGCTGAGTGAGTACATGTCCCTTCTTCTCAGTTTCTCTGAAAGTATCATTCTATGTTCTGGTCTGTGCTGGGGTATCATGGCTTAAGAATTGAAAAGGTTTGAAAGAAAACTATGCTGTAAGCTGACAAAGCAAGGCCAAATAACTTGACTTTTGTCAAGCAGAGATGCCAAGCAGGTATAAAGAAAAATAAAGTGAATAGCCTTGAACCATTTCAGACATCCAGACAGATGAATGAGTATTATCACTTTAACAAGTGTCTGAAAAGTCTCTGTTACTGTCTCTGAACCCAGGTTTTTGGCACAGTTTGCAGCTGAGTTTATGCTGTGTGTCTAGGAACAAGCGACTGCTAATGACTTGAAATTCAGTCCCAGCATGTTTCTTTCCACCTCGTTTTCCTGTTCATGTCCATAAATGCCTCAGCACCCCAACCCCCGCAGTATTACTACACTTTCCTTTTCCATATTAATCTATCTTTAGGCTAACACATTACATTGTCTTCCATGTGACAGATGGAAGAGCTTAACTGCCTACTTGTTTACTCAGTTGAAACCCACTGAGACCTGACAGAATCCAAGCATGAGATATACATCACTAGTGAAGCCTTCAGGGGTCAATTTCCCCTCTTGGTAAGGGGCTGGCATTTGCTGTTCTGCTTAAAATGCTTCATACAGGTACAGCTAAGTCAAGTAATTCACTGTAGGCATCCTCTTTTTCAAGTGATACATTAATATGCGTCATAACAAAAGTATTAACTAGCACGGTTCTGTGTAAAGACACATTGAGCCTGCAGTTTTGATGACAGAGTAAAATCTCTCTTTACGAGGCCAAAAGTCACAGGCATAACACAAATTGGTGAAAAAAATGATAAGAATTAACTCTTGAACTCACGTTCAAGTCTGCTAATAAGTACTGGGAAATAAACTTGATAACAGGCCGCTTTTAAGCCAGATCTGGTGTCATCTGTCCTCTCATATCTGATGTAAAACTGTCAAGCCAGGGTGAACATCATACTGTGAGTTCTTAGATTTAATGCAATCAATTGCCCTTGCTGGATTAAGGTCCAGTTTGCACTGCATAGATTGGATCTGGATGATTGTGAAACTGTGACTTAAAAAGCAGGAATTAAGTTTGTTTTTCATAGCAAATTACTTACACAGTGCCTCTGCCACTAAAACTCGGTTGCCAGAAACATTTCCATTCCCTTATAGAAAAGTTATAATCATCTGTCAGTATAGCTGCCAGATCATCTGAAGTGAGACTGAATGAAAAACAACAAAAAAAACAAAGCTATTCATTTCAAGTCAGTCTAAACAGAAGATCATTAAGCTTTTAAATTCTTGAAGCTCAAAAGACATCAGTCACTACAGTTTTTATAATAGTAGAACTGTCCAGATTGTTTCAAAATAAATTACAAATGGCTTTTTTAATTTAAAAGGACTTTTTGTTTTAGTCTGTCCTAACAGTATCTCCCTCCCTGGGCCCCCCAAACAACTATTTAATCCAAGCAGAAAGGTGAGTTTAAGAAGAGTTATCCTTTTGAATTCATGATAGTTAAACAAGTAAATTGAAAAATAGGACAACTTTTCTGGGCCATTATTAAATATTGATTAAAAGATATGATCACCATTGTAATAATCAAAGTGTAACCAAGGTGTTTTCCTTTTACTCTAGCTGAATTGATGCAGAAGTCTCCTCCATCTCTCATCTCTCTGGCTGGAGGGGCACCAAATCCTAATGTTTTTCCATTTAAGAAGGCAACTGTTGACATTGGATATGGAACTCCCATTGAGATTGGGGAAGATCTGATGAAGAGAGCCCTCCAGTACTCAGCCTCAGCAGGGTATCTGTCACAGCTGCTTGCACTCCAAGATACCAGAAGCTAAGGATCATAATATCCTTTATTATTGCATTTGGTTACCTGTGTTTTTAAAACCTGTTCATAAAGCCCTTTTTTCAAAAAATAGGTTCTTCCCAAAATCCATGTTTTGTTTGTTATTTTTTTAATTTGCCTCACTATTTACATTTGAGTTCAAGTGGAAAATTTCAAGAGTTATGTAAAAAGGAAAAACAAAATCACTTAAAACCCTAATCCTAGTAATTCTCAAGTCAGAGCATTTCCTAGCTGTTAGTATTTGAGAATCCAGACTCCCAAATCAGATATTATTTAAAAGATACTGCATTACAAAACATAGTTTCTATGTTTTCGAGTATTTCTTTTCATTCGGCACCATATACTAAAGTCAGTATGATGTAGAACCTATGGTAGTTGAGTGGAGGTGTTTATAGAATTGTCATTTTTGATACAAAATTGCATATCATTACATTCCTTTAGTGCTCATGTAAACTTCTCATCAGACATAGCACTGAGTCAGGTGAGGACAGGTTTGCAAAAAGAGACACGTGGGGCACCAGTTAATTTTTTTAATTAATTTTCTTAATATTTAAATTAACCCAGCCATTTGTGAACATCCTACAAGATGTTGAGGCATTTTTTGGAAAATGTATTTTAGAAATCTCTGTAATCTGTAGCATTAAGAACTTTGTCACACTGCCACATTTGAGTACAGAATGATCATTTCTAGGAGTGGGTATTGTTCAGTCTCCACCCTGTTTCATCCTTGGCAAATAATTTCTGCCATGATTTTACTATGATAATTTGGTGTATGGACCACAGATGCCCATCTCGTTTTCTTAATTTGATAAAGCAGTCATAGCAATTGCATTTAAGTGTATCTGTGGACAGTTGAAAACTTAGGACTGCATGCTAGATTTGGCAAGGATTTAGAGGAACAGGTTAGCTTTGGCCTATATAAGGTCTTAGATATGCCTTCTTATTCACGTTTCAGGATTCCAGAGCTGTTGTCTTGGCTAAAAGATTTCCAGCGGACCTTACATGATCCCCCCACAGCCAATTACAGTCCTGAGCAAGGACAGATGGAAGTGTGTGTCACAACTGGCAGCCAGGAAGGCTTGTGTAAAGTAAGACCAAAATATTCATATGTTAGAAGCATTTAATTCAGACCATTTATTCTTCCATCAGTTCAGCTATACTTCAGCATTAAGTGCCCTCTATAACTATATGCAAGGTACGGTTTCATGTACTCTTTCTCCATGGATATATATTTACTCTAGGTGCAAGTACAAGATAAGGGAAATTAAATAAAATTGGAGTGGCATTCTAGACTGTCAGGACTGCATGAAAGTTCATGTAACCAAAGAGCTTGTGTATAAAATATACTATAAGGTAACATTTCACATCACTCAAGTAGTGCAATAATAAGCACATAGATGCTTTACCATAACTATTCTAAATACATTTCTTCTTTTTTTTACTTCCTGACTTTTTTGGGTTTTTTACTTCCTGAAATAATTATCGTCTCCAGTCCACTCTCACTGCTGTTTGTTTGATTCTTTCTGTCACTTATATGGTAGAAAGGGTATGTCAGAACACTGTTTTTGCATGTCAAGTTGGTAACCTGTCTTAATTTGGCTCTAAAGCAGATTCTTCATCCATTCCTTGCCTTTCTTACAGACAGGATAATTATATGGCTAGGGAATTCGTAGTATCTAATCAAGATTTTTAAAGCATGAAACAAGTCCACAAAAACTGAACAATCTTTTCTTTTGCAGGTGTTTGAAATGCTCATTAATCCTGGAGATAACATTCTTTTGGATGCACCCACATACTCTGGGACACTAGCAGCTGTAAGTATTCCTTATCTACAAAACATTGTGAATGTTACATTTGAACTAAACAGAAGTTTAGTGCCTGATCTGCAGTCTTATAAACGCTGTGTTTGCCTTAAAAACATATCTAAGACTCAACATTTTAGTGTCCAACCATTTAAGTTCATAAATATTAACTCATAGAAGGTTTTCTACTAAAAGTTCTATGAAAGCTATTTAAAGTTCCTTCCAAACACTAGTTCATTTAAGGGCTAAGGTCACATATGGGATTGGAAAGAAATCCATCAGGACCTAGTTTGGTTGAATTAAATTTATAACAAGTGGGTCTGTTAACATGTCAGCATGTTTACCTGAAGTATTTAATGATCAGAGTGTACAATAGCTATAAATAGTATAATGTTGGAATAGGCCTGAAACACCCATATCTAAACACTCATATATATATCCATGAGTATGAAGATATGAATTAGTAAGAACTATAGAAAAGGAACAAAGTTTACTTTTGAAAATAGTTTAATCAGTATAAAATTAAATGTCAGCTTAAAATGCGCAAGAGCTGCAAGAAGGGTTAGAATAAATATATCACAAATTCAGTTGTCTCCACTTGTATAAAAATAAATTGTTATTGCTTGCTGTCCTAAATTTGAATATATAGTCTAATCAGTTGTACTTTTTTAGGAATGTATTTTGACAATGCAACGGCTTGCAGTTTTACTTAAAAATGCACAGCACTACATGGTACACATTGAAATTCCACAGAGGAGTGACAGCAAGCTTTTTCATTGGTATTTTACCAATATTTTTTCATACTGTCAACATGTCACTGCAGTAGCATCATTTCATTCTCCTTTGTATTGCTGAATATATCTATCGAGAACAGATTCTTTGCCCTTTGTCAGTGAAGAGTAGCTTAAAGCTCTGGCATTTCCACCAAAGTGGAATGTAAATTGTCAGTAGGAAATGACAGTGCTGTGACCTTAACTGTCTGTGGTGAAAGCATGAGAAGTCCTGAGAGAACAGTTCAGATTTACAAACTCCATTTCTGCTTGAAAAACCAAATGTGATTTCCTAGAGAAGGGCAGAAATTGAACATAGGAGTTTACCCATTTCTTCTGAGTTGGCTTAGTAGGACAAGTAAAGAGTAATGTGCTAAGTTTGACAAGCCTTACTGCAAATTCAGGCACCCTTTTATTTGACACATGAGCAAATGGAACTTCAGATACAAAATCCAAAAGAAAGACTTTGTATAGATGGAATTTTACTGTGCCAATGACAAAAGGAAAGCCTTTGAATTACACAATTATGACAGTTTTGTTTCTTCTATCAACAGCTGAGACCCTTGGGTTGTAATATAATTAATATTCCTAGTGATCAACACGGCATTATTCCAAAAGCCTTAAAAGAAATTCTGTCTGCTTGGAGCCCAGAGGATGTAAAAAACTGCAGCAATCACCCCCCCAAATTCCTGTACACTATTCCAAATGGATGCAACCCAACTGGCAACTCACTGACCGCAGAGCGCAAAAAGGAGATTTACCAGGTATGGAGCTGTGGCCTTGTGAACCATGTAGGTGGAAACAGATAAGTATCAGTCTTGTTTCAATTGAAGGTACCTCATGTGTGGTATTTAGGCCCATTATTGGTCCAGTAGACATTCCTCTTAGAGCTTATTTCTAGCAGAATCTCTTTCACAACAGCTCTTCAGAGGTAGACTATGCCCTAGGTAAACTGTTTTTCAATGGTAGTCCAATAGCAGCTGGTACCTTTGCCATGGGCTTCTGACTGGACATATTGTACATTGCCTGCACAGTTTGAATGCCACAAGGAACAGAGCTTCATTTGCATGCAAGGGTCCATGTACTACAAGTACCATGATTATGCCTATAATTTTTTTATATTTAAATTGGCACTTGAAGGCTTCTATATAATGAATGACCAATGAATAGAATCATAATATGCTGGTTAAAATAAATCTGACTGAATTTGCAGTGTCTTTAACTTTTAATCCTTTTGTTACTTTTTATTATTTTATTTAGCTTGCAAGACAATATGATTTTCTCATAATAGAAGATGATCCTTACTACTTTCTTCAATTTGAAAAGGTAATTTGTCTTTCATAATCCTTAGAACACCTTATTTTCTGGAGAGAAGCTAAGGTTTCAGGAGAGAACTAAGGTTTGAACCTGGACCTTCCTGCACACCTCTTCTTCATGTCCTACCAAGGGAGATGTAGGCCTCACAGTCTGTGCTCCTGTCAATCACTTTCCCCTTTGTGGTATTTTATGTCCTGTTAATTAGTGGTTCAAATTTCTCAAGCCTCATACAGGATAGAATTTTTCATTTGAAGACTTCATGTTCAGAGCAGAGCGAGTATGTCACTGAAGCAGCACTTGAAATTTGCAGCCTCTTAATGTTCATTTCTCCCTGTCTCTTCTTTCATTCAGCAGAAGACTGCCTACTCTGCATCTACTATACCCCATTTTTATCACTTTGCCTTTTGGAGAATCTGGGAGTTCTCCCAGGTACCACATATTGTGGTACTGGATAGGCAGCTTCCGTTCTTCATGTAAATTTTCTGCAAATTTCATACATGAATCTACAGCTACTCAGTCTTTAAACGTACCTAACTTCAGAAATCAAAATAGGTCTTACAAAGCAGTAAAACATTGGTAGAAGATAAAGGTCAGCATTTTCTCTTTTGAAATATGTTTTTATGGAAGGAGGCAATAAAACTGCTTCACTTAACTCATTGAATAGTACTGTGAAGCTTTGTAAGAAAATGAAGGGGAGAAGATGTAAAAACAGAATTCGAGTAAGGAAAAGGTATGCTGGACCCAGATCTTCACAATTTGGTCATATCTTCTGAGTTAAATTTTTAATATAGCAAAGCAAAATGCTACAAGGCACCATTTTAGTAGTTGCATTACCTGTTTACTCCACAAGAAATCTTGGCAGAAAAGTCATTATTTATCTCTCCTTCTTATGGCATCATACCAATACTTAAACTGAACACTTGTATGCTGATCATGGGCTAAGCAATCATCAAAAAATAACAAAGCTAATTTCTTAAAGACATTCACAGAATATTTTAATCACATCTCAAAAAGCTAGGCTAAACAATCACTTGTCAGCAAGTTACTGCAATGTTTTCCATGAAACACACACTTGAGAAATTGTGTCTTCATAGTAAAGAAAATAATCCCATTATAATTCTTACTAGCACCTTGAATTTTATTTTTTATGTTTTATTCCAAGCCATGGGCTCCAACTTTCCTCTCAATGGATGTGGATGGCCGAGTTATCAGGACCGACTCTTTCTCTAAAATTCTCTCATCTGGGTAAGGCCAGCTGCAGACCACTTAGCATTGCCTATTCAGTTAAAACACAAGACTTTTTATGAAGTGATGAGACATGCCATAGTGTTTTCTCATTTAACTATCCACTTCCAGAATTAACTTCTGGATCAATGCTTTTCACACTCTACTCACTTTCCATGTCATCTTTTGGCAGTCATTTTACTCCAGGTTCTGTTTCTCTGCTGATGCAGATAGTTAAGGTTCTCCCCCCAGGCAACCCATTCTTGCAGGTACCATCTAGGCAAAATGAGAGATGCTGGATTCCACCTCTGTTCCAGGAACTCTTAGGAGCTTTTCTCTCTTCTTTTTTCCATTTCCCTTATCTATCTCTTACTATCCCTGCAAGCTCCCTGAACGTGTAATACAGAAAAGAAACAATCATTCTTAATAAACTGTTCATAGGGTTGTACTGATATCAAGCCTTCCAGTTCTTTCAGGTTGTTTCCACCTGCCAGAAAAAAACTAATTTAGCTGTTTTCCATTTCACACAAGTCAATGTATTTGATTTTTAGCTTGCTTTTGTCTGTTAACATAATAGATATAAAAAATTATTGTGAATTCTGCATTGGTATCCGATGGATTATAACCCATCCTAGAGAAAGTAAGGAGACAACATAACACTAAGTGTGATTGCATTTTCAGAAATGAAACTGCAAAATGGTGTGATGCAGTATTATCTTTTCCAAAGACACATGGGTTTACTGGCTCCATTTTTCTTCAAATAAAAGCTTCAGCCAATCTGTAAAGATGGGTAATAAGAATTGAAGCATAAGTAACCATCTAGTTTATCAATCTAAATTCCATTCCTTCTGCAGTAGTGAAAGAGAGTGAAAGAGTAAAGCCATTTGACACTCATGTGTTTGTCAAAGCCAGAGTATCCATGATCTTTCATTATGGGAAAACCTATTTTTCCTTCCCTTTGATTCATATAATCTTTATTGTTTCAGAGGACAGCTTCCAAACACAGATTATGTCCTGAAGCCTCATAACTAAGAAGCTACTGTAAGCACTAAAACCTCCTAAATGTTTTTATTTCATGACTTTGATATTCGGCTTCTAAATTGTATAACCTGAGGGCAGTATTAGGGTATAGATAAATTTGAATGCATAAGAGATTCTTACACTATCTACCACTATGACCACTAAATGGTTGCACATTTTCCCACATATAACTCAGACAAAGTATTAGCACATTGCATTTCTGTAGTAACTTTTTGTTTGTTTGGTTTCCAGTTTAAGAATAGGTTTTCTGACGGGTCCTAAGCCTCTCATCGACAGAGTTGTTCTACACATTCAGGTGTCAACGATGCACACCAGCACTTTCACACAGGCAAGTACCAAGCCACCAAATGAATTGTCCCAAGTTATAAGAAACCACAAGCAAACAGCTTTGTATTTTCACAGTTGCTCTGCATTTTTGCAGTTTATGCACATTCATTGTCAATTCTGCCAAAGGAAGAGAGACCACCATAGAACTTGGAACCAAAGCTAGAGGGTTGTCTCAGTGCATGGATAGTACAGCTGATTTCCCTTAACCCTCAGATTTCAAGAATCAAGATTTGAAATACTTTATCTCTTCCTGGTAGGTTCATTTGAAAAATGTAAAGCACAGCATGGAAGAAACACTCATTTATTATTTTTTATTCTGCTTTTTAATTAAAACAATACTAGCAGCCCACAAAAACATTTCAAAGCAAGCTGACAGCTACAGCCCCTTTATGGTTAGTAATAAGGAAAGGAGACTGAACACATCTAAATACAGCTTCCATCTTCCAGCTCTGTTAGTTCGTCACAGAGGCACTATTAAAGCGGAGAGGCCAGTGCGGACAGGAAGGTAAAGCAATAGACATTGCCTTCCTCTTTCTCCCCAGTTACCATATTTAGCTCTTCATCCATTTTTCCCTCCCCTCACCCCAGTTTCCAAATAACTGACATGATCCTTGGAGACATCAGTAACATGGACTGTAATGACCTTAGCACTTCTGCTTATAAAGGGCTCCAGGAGACACTGCATGCAATTTCATGTCTGGGGAATGTTGAATAATGCATCTGGCTATGGATCTTTTGATGATTGTGGAACAGTCCTGTTTAAAACATGATATTGATGATATGTTTTATTCCTTTAGATTATGATATCACAGCTGCTTCAGCAATGGGGACAAAAGGGTTTCTTGGAGCATATAGACAGGTAGGGTTATGTCACATGCTGAATCACATCATCTGTCATTCTGCTTCTTCTTACCTACATCTAACATTCTTTGTAGTAAACAAGTCAGAGTGGGTGGACCAGTATTAGGTCAAGTAGGTAAGGTCCAAGGTTGTTAGGTTCACATAAGAGCCCTGAAGAGACATGGTGTGAAGTTGCAGACAGGCAGGGCATGTCACCTACCACTCCAGGCAGACAATCTGCCAGTGCACTAGCACAGATATTCCCTTCCCACCTGAAGGAAACTTGAGAGGAGCCTGAAAGCTTCAAAACAGTGAATAAAGTTTTGATCCCTGCTAGAGCTTTAGGGTCTGTAGCAAAAGCTGAGATCTCTGAGCACAGAATCCATTGAGAGTCAGCATAGCCTTTATAAAGGGAGTTCTTGCCTCACTAAGTTAGCAGGAATTCGCACTCTTGCCATCCTTGATCTCCTGATTGTGGATACAGATGGAAAAACAGCGAGGTTCACCTACACACACTAAACATTGCCTCTCACTCTTAGAGAGTGCACTAGGCTATCATCTAACTCACAAGGTATTTCTTGCATACTGACTGGCACACATTTAGTTTTCATTTATTATGCAGGAGGAGCATAGTTTCTCTTGACTATCAGTGCCTCATTTTATATGCTCTATTTGGATATCATTAGAGCCCCGAGTGTCTCACTTCAGTAGGAGCGTGCTACACTCTGCAAAGGCCTGTAACAGCAACATGAGCAAAACATGCAAAAAGTTCTAATATCTCACTGTAACAGCCACTTGTGTCCCCTTGATGTTCATACTATAAACAGCAATATTTAAAAAAACAACCAGCCATTGCTTTAAGATTTAGGAACATAAAGATAAGTCTCATAGAGAAACTTAGACCACACTTTAGCTCAACTTTCAGCAGCTCCCAAAAAAAAAAAATCCCAAATGCATCTCTTCACTTACCTGTTTTTTGTAGGTCAAAAGGCAACCTTGCTCAAGCCCAAAGGCCCTTCTTCTACTTAAACTAATGAAAATAGAACTGCAGTGAGGCAGCTGCAATGCTTTATAACCTTACTGATGAGGCCTCATAGCTGACTGCAATCTCTTCCAGCTGACGGTGAAGTGTTAGATCAGGCTTTGGAGTAGCTACATTTTTGGGGAAGTTTCATCCTACTAATTGTTATTATTTCAATATGTAATGAAAATAGTAACAGGTAGCAACTTTGTAACAGACTATGCAATTTTGGTAAAAACTGCACAAATACTTTTTCATATAGAATGTAGCAATAGATATAGCTGGGCCCCAACACTGTTTAAGTCTCTGGACGTATTGGTATTTGTGTATCAGATGTAATAAAATACATCTAGAAATCAAAGCTATTGGTTCAGAAGCTATTTTTTAAAATACAAATGTAAAATTATTATGTAAATTATGCAAATTGCTAAGGATGTTTTCTCAAGACATGGGAACACATTTGCATTTGAATTATGAACTCAGTATCAGGCATTTCTCTTGTGTCTTCCCCTGCGCAGCTGTGTCATTTTATGTCAACAAAAGCCACTGCACATGACTTGTCCGTGGTGAAACCTGGGTTAGGGTTATTTTTCCCAGTAAGAGATTAAATTATTTGAATGTTTTACTTAAAGTATGAAGGAGATAGGTTCAAAAGTTTAGAAAAGGGGAAGCTGTCAAATAGTTATGACAGGTTTATCATGTGATTTTCTTTTTACCTTGTCAAATGTCGTTTCCTTGTGTACCTGTTTCACAAATTCAACCCAAATGCACAAATATTAAGTCTGTGCTTTTGCATATGTTTAAGTCCCTAATTTTTTTCAGTGTGTGTGCTTTGTGCAGTAAGTACTGTTAACAAGACTTGTATCTACTGCTGTAATAGACAGAATGGAAGTAATATATAAAGGGTTTCTATGATATGTGTAAAGCTGAAGAAGCAGCTGCACAGGGACTTCCTCTGTCTGGTTGATCAGTGCTTTGTTGGAGACGCAGTGAAGCAGTAAAGACTTCTTGTATATATATACAAAGTTTTATACACACAGTATACTGTGTTGTGCCCACCTAGGATATGCTTATATTTCTATTAAACGTGCACTTGAGTTGTTCAAGTAGAAAAGCTTTGTTTCTGCCTTCAGAAACAAATAGACTCTGAAGTTGTATGAGTTCATGACTTTGGATTGATAATTTGTTTTCAGAGTGGTGGACTTCTACAGGATCCAGCGGGATGCAATGCTCACTGCTGCTGACAAGTGGTTAAAAGGTCAGAGTGGAACACAGATAATCACTTAAATGTTTTTGCTAGCTATTTATCATCTTTATGCTCAAGAAAAATCACTGAAGTTCATCTCTTGACTGAAGTGATAGATAAGCACTATAAGCAAATCAATTGCTTATAATTTATAAGCTTAGGACAAATGATATATTTCTGCATTTTTATGCTTTCTGGTAGGATAGAGAGATAGATGGAGATGAAAAAAGGTTGCCACATTATTATTTAAAACAATTTTACAAAGAGCCTGTATTTCAGTTCATTATGTTCTTATACTTTCAATGTTTAGAATCTCTGTCTTTAAAAAATCTCTGAAATAGTGACCTTAATTCAAAAGATGATACCAAAAAATTACTATAGCAATAGTGATAATAATGTTTGTATCAGCAAATCCAAAACACCACTGAATCCATGATGTATCCATTCAAAGTAGACCATAAGTTTCTTCCTTGATTCCATTTTCTCTCTCTTTCTTTCTCCAGACTTGGCAGAATGGTATCCTCCTGCTGCTGGCATGTTCTTGTGGATCAAAGTCAAGGGTATTTCTGATACACAACAGCTAATAATGGAAAAGGCTTTGAAGAAAGAAGTATGACATATGATTTAATGACTTACAATCTTAAAATGAAGAAAGGGAGGGATAAAATATCTGTATCAATCCACATGTACACACATAAAAACGCAGGGGAACTTGCTGTGCACCATCATTAAGTCTGCAAGTCAGGGCACTGTGGAATAGTTAGTTACTGGTTAACAAAATATTTTCATGACTGTTCAGATGCTAATATTAGTTTACTTAAATTGAAACCAATATAACATATGGTACAATATATCATTGTATATAACATATATATAAAATATTAGTATATGTACCTATTTGTATGATGGCTGTTCACCATTTTCTTTCAAGGAGAGAAATTAAGTTTGGTTTTATTTCTCCAATTCATAAGACCCAGCACTGTGTAGTGTGTAAGCTACACCGGAGATGCTTCTAAACATTGGGATGATACAAGCCAGACCTGGTAACCAAAACCCAAGACACTTTGGCTTTATTATGAAAAGTCTGGTTACAGTTTGCATATTTTTGTCTCCTCATTTTGAAGAAAAGAATATATTACCTCATGTTCTGATACAAGTGTGTAAGCACTGAGCTTTTTTAAATTTAATTTAACATAGTGTTTTAGAAGTGTGAAAGTGGTAATAACTGTGTGGTTAATCACTTTTTCCTAGGTATTACTGGTTCCTGGAGGAGCATTCAATATTGATAGTTCAGAGCCTAGTTCTTATGTCAGAGCCTCCTTCTCTCTGTCTTCTCCTGCCCAGATGGATCTGGTGAGATTTTTTTTTTTTACGTTCTTATCAAGACAGTCTCTCACACAGTAATGCTCCCTTATTTTTACATTGTCCTTCATATATTTTCTTCTTGAATGTTTGAGGTTTTAGTCTGTAGGTGATTAAGCAGTACTTTCACAGCAGTATAAGTTGTTCCTTTAGCAAGATATTCATCCAAATGACCTGCAAGGTACCAGATTTTTAGGACCACTTAGAATTTTTCTGTGTATCTCATACATGCAGTGTCTCACACTTAAACCTCCTAGACATTATTTATAAATGCTTTACTGAAGCCAGAGTAAGTAATAAGACCTGCTATTTGCTGAAGTATTAGCAGACATCATGTGTCTTTTAGACTTTGCATTCCCAAGATTTTGAGATTGAATTACTGATGTTCTTTTGTGTGTGTGTTGGCAATTCTTTGTAAGAAAGAATATTGTTTTTCTTTCGTACAATTTACATACATTTTTTTTTATTACTCATGAACTAACCTTTTATGTGTTTTAGGAGCATTTTTGATGTTATTTGGCTCTATCTATAAAATCAGTGGGAGAAAAGATAGGAGACATTTGTGCAGATTTAATACTGGTTTAATTAAAGTGCTTGAAACAGTTCAGTATTTGTAGTTGCACTTTCATGCAGTTGTGAAGGTTTGTAGGAGATAAGTGCTTCTATTGCCTTTTTAGTTCTTCAGTATTTCTTCTATTTTTTCCTTTTTCTTTGTTAAAGTAATTCATACCTCTACTATTGACAGTCAAGCTGTATTTTTATATGCTTCCTCACTCAACTGTTCTTCCTTTTTTTCACTTGTGGAGTCTCTGAGCTGTAATGTTAAATTAAAAGAGATACACTTTCAGGGATCACTAGTTTTTCAGAAGTTACATCTGAACTCCAAATAACCTTTAAACATCAAAATATGCATTTTTCTGTTTCAGAAATCTCTGCCTTTTGTTTGCAATCAGAGAATAGGAAGCTTTGTGCAGTCAAAGCCCATAGGTGATTTTATAAAAGGAAAAGAGAGAATATCAGCAGAACTTTGCATTATAAAATATGGATTCTATATGGTTAGGGCAGTTTTAGTAGCTTTACAAGTTTGATGTGTTCTCTATTCATGTAATACTGAGATATAAATGTGAACCATATTTGTCATTGCAGGCCTTCAAGAGACTAGCTGACCTTATAAAAGAATCTTTGTGAAAAACCTAAATAGAGCTCTTGCAGTAATAAAAATCATCTCCAGAAAATAATAACATTGGATTTCATGAGAACACTTTATAAACAAGCACAATACAGTGGATACTTCCTTAGATCTTTTCAGCTATAAAATAAAGACAGAAAATGAAAGTGAAAAACAATTTACAATTTACTAATTTTTTTTGACAGGACATTGCATTACTAAATTTATCCAATTCAGAAACATTTAAAATACTCACAACCAAAATGTTCTGTTTCCTGTAAAATCCATGGTTTTGTTAGATTTGGATTGATTTTTGTTCTGACTTTTGTTTTCTATTTGAGTTGGGAAACAGAAATCATTTACTTAGAAAGTCGCACTTGAGATGGTCTTAGACACTAATACTTCTCACTATTAATCTCAGCTGATACATTCCTCCAAAATCTTATGTTGGAATTGTCTTATGTGTCACTTCCATTCTTGTCCTACTGTATGGCATCTGGTTTTAATGATCTGAGGATTGGTATTTAATTTTACTGAAGTTTTGTCAGATTAAGCTGATGTAAGTATGTTAAAAATTGAAACTGATCCAGTAAAATGAGGCAATGATTACAAATAAACAGAGGTCCCTTGCAATTTGCAAGGGCATCGCAGCTCATTCTAATTTTAAAACAAATTCTGATTGCTGATTTTTACGTCAGTCTGTGAATAATTACTCTGTACTTGTGTTAAAAAATCTCTGGTTTGCCAAGGCATATGGATGTGCTAAAGGAGCTACTCTTGCTTATTCAATCAGATGTGGTTTTGAATGGAAAGTGTAAATAACTGAACAGGGGACATGATGGAATGGACTCTACCCTGACACTGCCAGATTCAAACAAAATGAAAAAATAAAGAAATATTTCAGTCTCTTATCCCTTGGTTATTGTCATCCCAAACATTTGATACTCAGCTAAAAAACCTTCAGAAAGTTTCAACTGAACTGATTCTCCAAGGCTTCCCATTTGGATTAGTGTCTTCAGTTTTCTTTACTGTTTGGATGAAAGCATTGTGGTTTTCCACCAGTATCAGATGGCTGTTTCTTTCTGTGCAACTATTCAGAATTTCAAAGTAAAACATTGTTCAAGGATCTAGTTAGCCATTCAGCAGCCCAGGCAACCCAAGCAAATAAGGGCCAGGCACAACCTTGCTTCATTGGAAGTTTCACAACAGGCATGATTTTAATACTTACAATAATTTTCATTCCCTTTTTTCCCCCCTAGTCATAAATAGCATGTGTCACAACAACCTAGCATAAATTATGCCTTTCCCAGAATCCCTCCCATATTGGCAGGATCATTCCAGTGCCTCCAGCCCAGCATCACTTTTCATGTCTGTCTCAAGCCTTTTAATATAGTCACACATTCGTGCCTTCTTGAGCAGCCTATCTAAGATCAATCCTTTGCTCAATTCCCAGATTACTGCAGCTTTTAGCTAAATTCACTGGAGAGGAACTGACATAGGTGGACAAGGTGGTGCAGTGGATGGGGCTGGCTCCTCCACAGAGTCAGGGTGGGCTTGGGACCCATGGAGTGATAAAGTGTAGGGAGAGCCTTCAGGCCCAAATCTGCTCTCAGGGTGCCAACACTGTCTTTGAAGACAAGCTTGTCCCATTTTACACGGTTTGATGGTGCTAATGGGGGATCTAAATTAGCAGTGCCTCCTGTGCAGTGCTGCTCAACAGGAAGTATTCACATCTCAACCCACTTCCATAAGCATGTGTAAAAATTATGAAAACTCTGATGTTGTTATCAGACAATTTTTATCTTGGGCTCAATTGTGAAAATTATTTTATACAACAACAAATTGATGTGTCTGTTTAATTAAAATAATATTTTTATAGAGGAATAAATGTAAACATTTAAGACTGATTTTCGTTCTCGTGTAAATGCTATTGTCATTGTCAAATATTTTGTTGTATTGTCATTCATCCAAACCTGAATTAGATAAACATAATCAAAATACCATTATTAAGTAAGCTATAAATTGGTGATGTGTTGAATAAAACACTTTAATTTTCCAAGATCTAAACGTTAATTTGGTTGAATGTAAGCAAAATGTAATTCCATTTATGCCACATTACCAGGTTTTGCTATCAGCTAATTTAATTTAGAGAGAGGTTGGTTTCTTTTCCCAGCTGTGGTGAAGCATATATAATCAAATTAATATCCTGAACAATGCAAATTGAACAATGGCAGTGAAATCCTATATGCACATGCAGTTTCCCTGAACCTCTTAATGCACATTTTCTGGTCTCTTGGGAGAGAGCTTTCACTGTTATTAAGTGTTCATGGAGGAAGCCACTTGAGACAAAAGGAAAAGGATGGGCAACGTGTTCGCATAGGAAGAAATGACACGGCAAATGGAAGTTTTGGGTTTCCCTTTTCACTTCATCCATCCGTGAGCAAATAACCTCTCTCATTCAGAGCGGGGTTTAAGCCATCTGATGCAAGTAACTCCATCTGCCACTGGGGAAAAGATGCAGAGGAAAGGAAGGGTAGGGCTCAGTGTGGTGAGCACAGCCCCCAGTGCTGCCCTGGTGGGGCAGTTGAGGAGGAGGTTGCTGCTCTGCAGCAAAGAGCAGCAGAGAGCCCTGCAGCGGCTCCCTGCAGCCTGGTCTTACTTCTGAGTGAGCTTTGAGTGCCCATTCTCTTGTACCTCTACTCTGGTTCCACTGCCTTTCACACTTTCGGCAGATGAAAACCACCCAGAAATTCTGGGCAAACTCTGGACATTTACAAACTCTATTTGCATTTCAAAAAATTTACTTGTATTTCAGTTCTACTTGTATTTTAAAAAAAAATCTCGAGACCTACAGATCTGCAGTTCTGCCTTTGCAGTCTAGTCTGTGACCTAGTGAGGCAAATATGTAAAAAGCTACCATTGAGCTGTGCTGTGCACGTCCTAATCTGTCTTGTTTTCTTTATTGTTTAATAACAGGTTTTGAGAAGCCCACTCTAGACAATCTCATATGGGAATAGAACAGTTGCAGTGTTTGAACTGTAATCATTTTGAACAAAAATGCAAAGAAACATGCATTTTCATTCTTCTAATACTGTTCCCAAGAATACCATGCTGTACCTCACTTTTCTCCTAATGATCACGGAAACTATTGTGCAACTCTGCAAAGCACAGAAGTCACAAGGGGAGAAGAATAAGGGTCTTGCTGATTCTTTTCGAGAATTAATATCCCAGAAACATGTTAACAAATCTGGTTACAGCTAGAAGCTTTCCTATAGCTTCACAGAATGTAGAGAATACCTTCAGAATTATATTTTCTTTTTATTTTCAAATTATAATATATCAGATCTAGGTTGACCTAACAAGTGGATATGCTGTGATGTGGTCTGGAAAAAATTAACACGAAAGTATTTCTGTTCCTTGATGTACACAGAACTTTGACTTTTTCAACATTTGGCTAATAATGAACTGAAGATACTTTCTTGCAGTTTCACCCAATAAATTAGGCATTAACAGAGGTATATAAAGTTCTTCTGACAATATCAAATTATTTTATTGCCTTATATGGAAAGTATAATTTAATACACTGATAGTCCCCCTCTCACAAAGACTACTAATAAAGTGGAGAGATGGAAAGACCACTTCAGTTTTCTTGGTGGATTATATGAAATAGTATTTTCAACACAGTTCCAAGAACTTGGAAGATGTTACTTAATAAGAAAATAAGCTAGTTTCTGCATCCATGAGGAAGACTGGCAAGAGTTACAGTCTTAGTACAAGCCTAGCTAGGGAAGTTTTAAACAATTTTAGGCAGCCCACTAACATGAAAGCAAACGGCTAAAAGGTTTTAGTAATGCCTGAGAAAGAAGATACTTTATTACAAACCCAAACTAATAGAGAACAGCTCTGATTTTTACAGATACTGTATTAACCCACACTTTTGCATCTCTGCTTTTGTTTTTTTCTGGATTTATTTGTTCAGCTCTTTTTAAGGATGTTTTCTATCCCCAGGGCACCCAGGTGACATAATTTTTCAGTAATTAAAGCCAATTATTTTCTTACAATTGCCACTATATTTTTTTATCCTTTACAGATATGCTATTACCTTATTCTCTGCATTTTTTGTAGGTCACATGATGCATAATCCCATCAATAACTAATATCTCGCTGGTGGCTAGTCTGACCCAAACACTTAATACAGCCAGCATCACTTTAGGAGACCAGCACTAACTTTAGGGTGATGTAACTCAGAAGAGTAACTATCTGGAATATAATATTGCCTATATCTTCAAGTAACAGCAGTTATGCCAAATGAATAAATGTGTTATTTCTTTCTGCCTCCTAACTGGCATAATGTTTCCCATTTGTAGCTTTTTATTTCTTTTTATTTAGCTATTCCTGCTTATTACCCTAGCAAGTCTGTGATAAGCCATAAATGTTAGATTAGTTCCCACATAATAGATGTGAAAGAGAGGACTTTTAGAAAGCAACATGCACAGATGGTTCAAACTCTGTGGGTATCAATCACGCTTGCAAGTGGTGTTTACTGTGAACAAGAATCCCAGGGACTCATGAGGTTCAAAGCCAAAGGAAATCATCATCAGCTTTATAAGAAAGGCCATGCATTTTCATTACCTCTGAGAAGGATATCCTATCTTGGTTTTAAGACTTGAAATGATGGAAGACCCACCAGAATTATCTGTTGGATTAAAGAGCCCTTCATTACATGGCATTCTCTCCAGTCATGTCGCTTGTATTAATTCAGCTATTTCCCTAAAGTCAAAAGTAAGGGATAAAAAGGATATCTTTCAAAAGTCTGAAGCTGCACTCCTAATTAATGAATTTTCAAAAGATTTTCCATAAATCTCCTCAAAATCTACCCTAATCAGGGTAAAGATATTTCCCTTTAAGGCAAGAAGGTTTTGTAAAGTAGATAAAACAGTGGATAGGAAAGACACCAATGGAAAAAGATTCGGTATTGGAAAATCACTTTCTGGTGTCAAAAATAACGAAATCATGTTTTAGCCTTTTATGACTATCGTATTATCATAAATAAATATCGACATATGATATCAGGAGCATTTTATTTTAAAAGACCATTGAATCCACCTTGTTTTGAATCCTGGCAATTCAGGTCTTGGGCTACATTGTAAAAGTGGCATCCAGGAAACTTAATTTGGAATTCCTTACCTGTTGCACCAAAGCCATGAAGGTGGGATGGGGTAAAAAGTTCATATGATTCCCTCACTGTTATAGTAACACTGGTTTTCAGAGTGGGTGAAGTATTTTGGGAGGTGAAGTCCTACTAATTTTTTATATTAGACTCTTGAATGACCAAGTTAGTTTTAAAACAGAACTGAAATTCCTAAGATCATAGCATCTTAGATCATAGTTTTAAGAAATCCCATTTAAAAAGCTACATGATTCAAAACTGTAAGGGCAAGAGGAAATCTTTGCCACATTCTTGCACATTTCCTGAATTAAATGTTGCAATGCTGTGAGTACACATCTAATAAGACTGGAAAATATATTTACAAACCGATTGATATTGAGCACTGACCTTTCTTTTGGTGTTTAAAATAAAATATCAGTAATGCTCAGGACAACTGAAGTAAGAAGGACAACACTAGAGCTAAGCAGAGGAAGAAAGGAGAGTGGGACACAGCATGTAAGAAAAGTCTAGTGACAAAAGACAAGTAGAAATCTTCCCCAGAGCCAGACACAAATAGTTGACACTTGCTCTGTTAGATATGGTTCTAATATTCATTCATGGTTCTAACCATACTTTCTGATTGTGAAATGGCCTTCTTTGTCAAGGGACAAAAATATTTTACTTCTCTAAAATTTGTATCAAATTGTATATTAAGGATGATAAACACCAGGCTAAAACAACCATGTGTAACTATGTAACTACTGGCACTTCAAAGAATCTTATAGAAAATTTGGCTTACTCTGTTCCCCAGGCTATAACAGAATTCTTCTAATATCTTTGCTAACATCTTTGCCTCCAAAATAGGCATTCAATAGCTGTCACAGCTTGCTTCCAGTAGCAGCTTCACAGACCACAGAAAATACAATATGCTGTGATAAATGAGCTACACAAATGTTTTGCCCCTGCCAAAAACTGAAAGTCACAACAAAGCCTTGCTCTTGTACCTTAACATTACACAGGATTTTGTGCAGGCCAAATATATAAATAGATCTGAAAAAGGGATTAAACACAGTGACTTGGAACAGGACTATAAAAGGCTTTTGAACACAATGATCTGTGTGGTCCATACTAGGATTTCCTAATCCAATGATTGCCTGAATGGGAAAGGATATCAAGGGATCACTAAATACTTCCCCATTTTTTATGCTCTTGCTTTGGCCATTGACAGACAAATCATAGTGGACAAAAGAAAATTTGGCTTAACTAATATGACGATACAGAAGTTTATGCTAGCTTTTCTCTGATTTAGCAAGGGCTGTTCAGCTAAGACATATTATTGTGTAGGAAGTGAGTGACAGTGAGAATTAAAATCTGGAGCCAAGCTATAGAGCAATTCACAATTCATGCATAGGCACTGAGTCAGTTTACTGCTGAATTCAAGCTTTTCCTAAGGTCACATCTTTTTTCCAGTCTTGTGCTCAGCTCAAGGCAGTGGCTACATTATCATGCAGAGTCTGTATACAATATCTCATTTCCCCATTGTAACTGCAGTTGAATACAGATGTACTGCACAGCTGCATTGGAAAAACATGTTGGTTACGTACCAAAGAGAAAAAGATCCTGATGGTGTCACCACATGGGCAGAGGACTGCAAAAGGTTTTTACCTGAATTTCCTACTCTTTTCTGAGTAATTCCAAATGAGTCCCTTTAGTCTCTGTATCCCCACGGCGATAATGAGCTAATATCCTTTGTAAAGG